GTGTTCTTCTCCACGATAATGCATGTCCACATGGGGAATGTTTGACACAACATAAGATTATGGAGTTGGGTTGGGAAGTTCTCCCCAATCGACCATATTCTCCAGATACGGCACCATCAGATTATCATCTTTTTCTTTCGTTGCAACACCATTTTAATGGGAAAATTTATGCAAATGTGGAAGGTGTTAAAGAGGACATCGACATGTTTTTTACTTCAAAGCCAAGTGATTTCTTTAATCAGGTCATTAACAACCTGATTGTAAGATGGAAAAGCATCATTGATAAGAATGGAGACTATTTCATTTAATAAATGTTTTGTTTTAATATATATAAATTGTTCGGGTTTTTTCATCTAAAAAAAAAGCGACATTAATTTCTTGACGACCTAATATTTAATTTATTTATGTTAGTTGAAAAACGGTATTATTATGTTTTTGTTACAGATTATCGGTAAAATGATATCCTGTAGAATCACGAAACTGATAATATATGTAACCTATTAAAACACAATATAACACCGTTAAAACTATATGAAGCGTGTTTTGTGAAACACAATATAACACCGTTAAAACTATATAAAGTGTGGTTTGTGAAACACAATATAACACCGTTAAAACTATATGAAGTGTGGTTTGTGTTCTGAGCAACATCTGCCAGATGAAAAAAAATGGATAAAATCATTCAAAATACATCCATTATTATTGTATATAACACCTTATAATGATGACCTGTTGATCAGTAGTTTGTGGGCGAGGGTGATCTGTTGATCAGTAGTTTGTGGCAGAGGATGACCTGTTGATCAGTAGTTTGTGGCCGAGTGTGATCTGTTGATCAGTAGTTTGTAGCCGAGTGTGATCTGTTGATCAGTAGTTTGTGGCCGAGTGTGATCTGTTGATCAGAAGTTTGTGGTGTATCATCATATCAAAATAAAAGTGATAATAATTTTTACTAAATCTTTGTTGCTTTTTTATTGACCCTACACACGTTGAAGGTGACACGAAGTATAATAGCAAATTCAATCCTGGTAGGTGTTTGTGCTTAACAATCCTGCTAGGTGTTTGTGCTTAACAATCCTGCTAGGTGTTGGTGCTTAAAAATCCTACTAGGTGTTTGTGTTTAACAATCCTGCTAGGTGTTTTGTTTAACAATCCTGCTAGGTGTTTTTGTTTAACAATCCTGCTAGGTGTTTGTGCTTAACAATCCTGCTAGGTGTTTGTGCTTAACAATCCTGCTAGGTGTTTGTGTTTAACAATCCTGCTAGATGTTCTTGTTTAACAATCCTGCTAGGTGTTATTGTTTAACAATACTGCTAGGTGTTTGTGCTTAACAATCCTGCTAGGTGTTTGTGTTTAACAATACTGCTAGGTGTTTGTGCTTAACAATCCTGCTAGGTGTTTGTGTTTAACAATACTGCTAGGTATTTGTGTTTAACAATCCTGCTAGGTATTTTTGTTTAACAATCCTGCTAGGTGTTTGTGTTTAACATTCCTGCTAGGTATTTTTGTTTAACAATCCTGCTAGGTGTTTTTGTTTAACAATCCTGCTAGGTATTTGTGTTTAACAATCCTGCTAGGTGTTTGTGTTTAACAATCCTGCTAGGTGTTTGTGTTTAACATTCCTGCTAGGTATTTGTGCTTAACAATCCTGCTAGGTGTTTGTGCTTAACAATCCTGCTAGGTGTTTGTGCTTAACAATCCTGCTAGGTGTTTGTGTTTAACAATCCTGCTAGGTGTTTGTGCTTAACAATCCTGCTAGGTGTTTGTGTTTAACAATACTGCTAGGTGTTTGTGCTTAACAATCCTGCTAGGTGTTTGTGTTTAATAATCCTGCTAGGTATTTTTGTTTAACAATCCTGCTAGGTATTTTGTTTAACAATCCTGCTAGGTATTTTTATTTAAAAAGATAACTTTAGTTTCTCTCCACCCTGCTTGCAAAATATGAATATTTCAAAGTGAAAAATGTTTGTGCCGAATTGTTGAAATACAAGAGAGGTGATTTTATGACGTGATTGTTGGGTGTGACCCGACATCCTGAGAGCAGTGAATGCAAGAAGTTGGTAGAAGGAAGGTTAGGTTGTGTGAAGGGTACGACAGACGCTGCCAAGTAGACCACAAACCTTTTGTGCCACTGCCGACGATGCCTTTCGCTCAATACCAGAGCTGATTAAGTCGTCTGGTATACAACAGAAAAACACTTACTGAAAACTCCTACAGGGATTTTATGGAAAGATTTGTTAAATTGTTGACAACATTTTTTTTTAATTGAAAGCCTGAAAGAATTTGAATAAGTAATTTTTTTGTTGCAGGGGTTCACTATAGGTATATATTTAACTAACATGAAATACTGGATGAGTTGAGTACCTGGGTTTATTTTGTTAAAATCCAATTTGCTGGTTTCAATCACTTTTGTATTATTGTTACTGGAACACTCATAAACGGTGACATCATCCAGAGCAAGGTCACTGAAGTTTGGTTCTCCGATAACGCCTTCAAACATAAACTAAACAAGAACATAATCAGGGTTAAACAACATTCGGGTATTCAAATGTGGTCTCTACCAGGTTCGCCTCTCAAGTCTACCTGACTTTATACGTCATGGTAAGAACTAGTGCGTTTTTTACATATTATTGCTTTCCACAAAAAAGTAACGTGTTGTCTGACAAAAACAAAAAACTCTAGGCCTGAAAGATATTGTCAACTGAGTCATTGTTAAACGCTGC